TATATATAGAAGTGTGTTTATCGCTTTCGATAGTCTTGTGTTGACTTCATGCGTTGTGTTGCGTTCTTTTCTGGTCCCCACACATAGACCCCTCAGTAACTTGCCGGGTACCTGTCAGAGTTCACTTTCTCTCCAGTTCTATTGCCATCATCCTGCTATAATATAGGTGTCTTGTTATGCATCATGATTAGAACTCGGGCTTTTTGCGTGTCGCATCAGCTGTGCGGCCTCAAGCAGCTGTTAACTAAGTAGTAAGAAAATTGTGTACGTGCCGAAACGTCTGCCGACTATACTGTGTTGCCTGCCGCCGTTTGCTACGGTAACTGCTATGTCTTGCATTCTGCGGTAGCGGATCCTGCCGATCCACAGAAGCTCGAAGCTGCTGCCTACGAAGATTGCTATAGCAGCAGTGTCTCTGCTGTTCTACATATGAGACGCGACGCGACGTTGTCAAAGAGACAAATTGCCGTTTAAGTGAACGCTTCCATAGGTCGAACTACGTGCACAACGCCACCTCCCGAGCGAATGTATTGCAGTTCCAATACAATCCGGGACGGCTTTGGTCTCTTCAGACTTTCAAACGTTTTGCTTAATTCTTCTATCTCTCTCACAAGCTTAGCTCTAAACAACTACTTGCTTCGGTCAATCCATACTGCCAAAATCCCTCTGAGTCTCTTTGTACCCGTTGATTTTGTTCGAAATTTTTATAATTATCCACGCCAACCTAATAAATGCTTTCTAGCATTTAAACTATTGCTGAATCTTTCCATATATCTTTGCGGTGAACTTTGCACGTTCCTTTTGAAATCTCTATTTGCGTACGAAGTGAAGATACTCCACCAAATCGAACACGGTTACACTGGTCTTTAGGCCTATGCCTAGTAAAGTTTCTCGTGTTTTTTTTTACCACAAAGTCTCTATTATGATAGTCCGATATACCGATGCTACACCCAAATTTTGTGTGATAAACACGTACACACGCATTATCTTTGCGTTTTCGCCTTAAATACAGTTAAATAATAATGATGATTATATTAGATTCTTTTCTCCATAGTTCTGCACTGCTTTGTTGGTATAATAGAGTTTAATGATAGACTGCTTTTTCCGATGTTACCTCTTGTAAATGTTTGGTATAGTTGTAAACGTTATCCGTTCTTTCAGCCTTTCGTTCCTCCTCAGTGTTAAATTTTTATCTTCCTTGTAGGCTTCTGCTCTTCATCAGCAATATATTTATTATTATTATTATCGATTATCAGTCGGCAGCGCGGGTGATAATTGAAAAATAATAAGTTATTACTGGTAGTGCGAGTAATCTGACGGCCCATCTATATTAGCTGCTGTTGTATGCTTTACAATATAGAAAACGGCGCTTAGATTACTTAGAACAGATGCCCGTTCGATCCGTTTGGGCGTCCTCCGTCGATAGGCGACACCGACCCGCCAGACGAGCTGCCTGATGAGCCACCACGTTCCTAAACAAGGACGATACATTCATAAACAATAACGTGTAAATAGACACGTGTCAAACACCGAGCAGTAAGGAAATGGAAAGTAATACTGTTCCATCCAATAAAAATTACTCACTCACTAACTAACATTGTGTGTTTTTTTCTTCATTTGTCAAGCGTCAAATAGAAGTAAGTGGTTTACGTAATACGAAGGATGCCCATTTGTATATAGCTGCTAAACGAATATCCGCAGTAGATTTTAGGTTTTAACAGATCAATTTCGATTTCAGTACGGCAACTTACATTTTGGCAAACTGTATAAAAATAAGAGAAGACACTAGACCAACCTGACGTGATGGAGAGCCAACGGTGTACACACAGCCCGTGATCGGATTACGGGAGACTGAAGGTATCAGTTAATGAAAAGGCCAAAACGACCGCTGTTAATCTTAAGCCCTGGCTTGCACGTCAACTGATGATAAGTAGTTATACGTCTCCGTACATAAGTGCGGATTAATAGTTGCTTTGAAAAATTCATAAAATTGCAGTAATGCATATTTACTTTGGCGCAACTTGTTGATTTCCAGTTTATTGCAAAAAAAAAAAGATTAAATTTTTAAGTGACTCCTATTATGACATACGGCGATTGTGTGTAAAGGAGCGCAATAGAATCTGTTTTGGAAATATGATGACTGCTAGATGCAGATTGGCAAAATGGAAAACGTACTGTATTTTTTGTTTACTGCAACTGGCGTTGCAGGCGCAGAACGTTGCCCATCGAATACCGATGACTTCATGCGATCCACAGCGCGACGTGGCGTTGAAAAGTCGTCCGATCCTGAAAGCCGTGACACGAAAACACTTGGTCACTTATCATCGATAGACGCAAGACAAGAGCGTGACAATTAAGCCCTTGTTATGCCTTTTACTATTTATGCTTGTTGTTACTATACGTACCACCTATAATATAATCATATTTTTAGGCAACTCTCTGTCTCAGGATGTTGCTTTTCGTATAGAGACAGAAAAAAATGTCTCCAGAACAAATTTGTATCTGGACTATTTTCTCAGTAAGTAAATTTTTCTTGAAACCATAAAATTCGAAGTAGTTGGGTTGCGTTTTGTAAAATAATCTACGAATGCAATTGGTCCAGTAGAACAAATTATGGGTAATATCATACTAATCCCTTTCAACTCTAAGTAAAAACATGGATATAGAATAAACTCGAATAAATACCGAAAAGGCGTTCTTGGGAAGAAGTGGACATCTTGCGACGAGGCGTGGAAGCGCCAGACGAAATCCCGGACGCACGGTCAGTCTCATCGGCATAACCGAAGATGTTGGATGTTTGGCCCTGATCATAGCAATAAAAATGAAAAAGATACATTATATATGTATCCTTTGTACGATTATTTGCACGCACATTAATATCTAATTTCTTACTATTATATTGTTAATTCAATTGAATCGTAAAAAATCTACCTTGACGACACGACGAGGTGAAGCTGTGATCGGATGGGAGGGTGATCGCACTCCAAAAATGTCACTATCCTCGCCGCCAGGCGGCTTCAGGACCCTGAAAAAATAATAAGCAGGGCAATATTTCGTTGTTCTGTTATTGTTTGTCCGTTCAATATAGCCTTAGTTGTAGAGTAATTTATAAACTGCAACCGTCGCTATTTTACTAATCTCATTTACTCTATTCCTTTTTCGTACACAGAGTAAATTTAAACAGGCCCTTTCTATTACACGCATCATCAATTCATTTATTCATTAAGTTAACTTAGTTTTCAATCCGTCTATGTTGTCTTTAATCTTTAAACTTTCGTTCCAACAGACGGCCTAATGCAATCCATACTCTCTTCAACCGCTGATTTTCCTGATTCTCTTCTCTAAAGATCCATCAAAGTTAATTCGTGTGCCCGGCATGCAGCACGACAAGATCCATCCATAAAGCCTATGCTCGGTGCACATGTACACACCGACATACACACACGCAACTTAAGCTTAGTCATTGCATCGCAAATCGCAGGCAGTGGACCGATGTCGAGGGTAACCCGTCTCTATTCGAGATTTAGCCTGCTTTTCCCCTGCTCAGGTCTCTAATCGAAGATCTTAAATCCAGCTTTTCCACTAGCCGAGGCAACGTTCTTCGCTCGAATTGTCAGAAATTCAACCCAAAGACACTTTCGAGCTTGTGGGCGACAGTGAGACTTAACTGACTTAAGTAAGCCACCCACAGTCTCCCGTCGTGTGTCGCCGCAACTCAGTTAAAATATCCTATCCTTTACTGAGTCTCTGCTTTGCTACGCCTCTGGTTAAGCGGCCAGGGTCAGAGGGAATAAACCCAGACCAACTTTCAGCCTATTCTCCAAACGACTCGAATAAAATGCAAATGATCTTCAATGAAAGTTTAACTGACCAACTGAACTTATGCGTGTTGCTCCATTTTTCGTAGATTTATGTCTTTATTCGAAGATCCTACGTGTTAAGTAAATTTAATCCACTCTATTTGTTAATATAAAAACATCGGTAATTGATAAATACAAAAATTTGTAATATTAAAAGCGATTAGAATCGTTTGAAAAAACAACAGGGTACTTTAAGAGGATGAAAAAGAAAGCGATAGGTCAACTTGATTTGAATATTTCCCCTTTAGTTAATCATTTTATTCAAATCTGTTCATAGGAACACGTGACCTACGGCGGGAGTTTTCAAATTTTATCTAGAGTCCTCAAGCGGCACTTTTCTTGCATAATCATTGCTTCACATTCGGGGGCAACGTAACATTCGCGTTCTTCGAAAGCCAGTTCGTTCTTAACGAACAGTATATAAAGATCATATTGACTTTGGATTACCTCCGTTTTTTGAATGGCATCATGGTGAGTGAAGTACATTTCGTAATTAGCCTGTATTAACAAAGGAGATTTCTGACTGCATTTAGAAGGAGAGAATTTACTGTTTCATTTGCTGTTTTATCTTCATCAAACTGTTTATCGAACCATCTGGAATCTTCGTTATATCGCCATATCTTATCATATAGCCAGCAATCTTCACTTAGGCTTAGACAGGCATAACTCACAGTTACTTCGGTGCTTTAATCACCATCAGGTGTAATTGTTTAAGCGGTTTCGTATGGGCAATTCTTACTATATGTACTGTAAATCTAATTGTCTATGAACAACGGTACCATATATCTATAACCGAATGATAAGATCCACCAATGGTTCCTCTTTTTGAATTATTCTTCTTTCGAAGTTATTTTGCTGGACCTGGGTGGAGCAAGCTTGCTAGACTCACCCAACACGGTCCCAGCAGCAGCAGGTAAAAGCGAGACAAATCTAGGCTTCACCTCTGAAGCACGAGAGGATAGGGAAGGAGACGGTCCACGCTACACCGTAGTCGTGATCATCATTTTTTTTATTAGGACCTAGTAATGTCGCCCGAAAATCCTTCAAACCTCTCATCCCATAGCTTAATATTTTCCATGATAGATAATAACCATCATGTTATGTATAAGCTTCAAGAGCAGTAATGGTCGTAATTGCGTAGCACTGCGTTACACTCCTAGTAGGTATGTTCATATTTCGCTACTGGCCGAGGCATAGCGATAGTGACCCCTGTTCATCGAAGCGTTACAGATCTCCCTGTGTCCTTGTCCATGTTAGAAAAATTAGGCCAATGTAATCAGATGATAGTACCATCATACAGGGGAGCTTTAGGTGCAGGAGGGAAACCCATTGGTGGTATTGATGAACGCACTCGGCGAGTTCGCAGGAAAGCTCCAGTATAAATCGATAAGTACTACACATATGCTACGAAATGTAGTAGTGGCTTTAAATAATGTGTATAAATTAAAACACTATGTTAGCATAGATGCTTTAACTAACACGACCGAAATTTTAGAAGAGTATGAACACACTTTCGAAGGACTATTCTAAAGATGAACCCCATAGCATAATGGGGTGGGAGAACTTTGAGAAAATAACTTAAAAACGATTTGGTTTGGAAGAGCATGCGAACTCTAAATATTTTGAGATCAGATTTGATCAGAATGTGTATATACTTTTAAATGCGTTGAATCTAATGTATACACATTGCGAGCTTTTACGGTTGATACCTTCTCAGCGTAGTCGGCTCCCAGCACGAAAGTGAATGCGTCCATATCTGATTCGAAATCACCTAACGTATTCCTAAATTCGGCAAACAAAGACTTCGCTACTGCGTCGTCACGGAACCCTCTATCTAATTTAAGACACCTTACGAGCGGCTAAGTTTAGAAGGTAGACATGTCGTTATTACACAACAAAAGATCGGGATACACCGAGTTCGGTAAGCTTGACCTAAACATATTAAATTCAAACAAAATAAAAAACCAACAGAACAAACCCAAGAAGACGCAATAATCATATATTTGTCAGTGCCATTGTGCGCCGCTTAGGAACATCTGTTCCATGGGTGCGCTATTGTAGCTCTAGATACTTGTTTTGCTGCTGTCCTACCGTATTATTGAGCTACCAATCAATCATATAACATTCCTATATGTCTTATTATGGTCTGATTTCAGTGGGTTTATATATTTACATATAGATATTTGTGCCAAGTCGATGGTGGTTGTGAAGACACACAGCCGCATTTCATCTGAAGTGTGCAACTACGCGGAACGCCATCAGATCCGCTGTATCTGCATAGCTTTTCCCTTTCACTTAACCATTGGGGCCGATACAGATGCTTTCATATATATAGTATAAGAGTGGGAGATCGCTCTAACATGTATAGATGTGTGTATCATTGTTGAACGTCCGCCTGTGCATTAGATCTCAGACCTAAAGGTACCGCTCTGATACTATTTGCTTTTGTGTCCAACACTAAGCATTACGTTTTGTATTGACTCTTATGTCGAACATGGGCGTCTCATTCAAATAAAAGCATTATTTGTCATTAAAATAACTGATTGTTTTTAGTAAACAAACATTTTACGGAAGACATCCTGTTCTGGATAGATAGTTCAAGAAATAACAGTATATTTTTCTTGCTTTATACGAAAGATCCTTTTGCAACCGTATAATAGACAAAAGCAGGCAGAATAGGTTGTTTTTAAAAGTAGTATCTTATTTGAGAGAAGCTTAGAACATCTCTACGACAAGTATACTTTGCGGAAGATTCGGAACTTTTGTTCCGAATGTGGCGCGTACGTAACGGTACTAATGTGTAATACATGGCCTCCCCAAACAACCACATTCGCTTGCAATCTTTATAAAGAAAAAAAAAAATTATATATATATATATATATATAGATACATATATCTGCTTTCCTTAGAATACTCTTCCGGAATAAGAAGACCTAAAGCGGTTTGTCATAAAATGGGCTGAGAGGAAAAACAACCTCCAAGTGTATGCTTCTTATGGTATGTTCGACGGTTTTATTTTGATAAATCCAAAACCAGAAAAACCATCTGTCCTACTGTAAATTTAGTCCTTAGAAATGAAAAAGATTTAGCAGGAACTGTTGTCAAATGATTGCTACTATATGTACACAACTTAATCCACTACAACCCTGAATAAAAAATCACCAGGCCAAAAAGTGCCGATTAGAGTCACACCGATGATTACAATTCAAGTCCGTAACAAAGGCGTATTTCGCAAAGGCCTCAAAAACAAAAGCACAGATTTTGACCGATCATCGGCACAATGTCATACATACATAGCTCCTGCCTTTAACAAGTACATCGAAATTCACGAAAGTAGCATACCCTATGCTTGGGTATCTTGGGTCAACGAAAGGACATGACGAGACGTTATGTAACCACTTCGCTCGGTAAACATATGCGATTAAGAAGTTTACACGTAACGTTTTTCATCTGTTTGTTTTATAGATAATGCGCGGACACTGCTGGCGAGTACAGCTGCCAATGATCGACGGCTGTAGTAATGAGTTTTTTTCTTTACTATATTGCTTATCCATAGCTACTACATTTCAGATTAGAAAACATACCGATTATATTAGAGTCATATGCTATTAGTTATTTTCGGCGATATTCTCTAGCGGATTGTTTTCGATTGTTTTCGTATTTGGGATAACCTGAACGTAAACAGCGAACGAAACAGTTATTATTAGTACGAGTACGCATTGCCCTGGATCATATATTGTTGACAATCGCCCTATACGCTAAATGTTACATCTTATTACGCCGAAGAAAATCTTCCTTATACTAAATAAAAATGCGTTAGAGATAACCGCGTTGGCTTTGTCGTGTGCTGTATTTTCGATTGATACTAACTTTTAATAGAAGATTTAACCCAATGAAACGAATATAGGTCCTTATTATGCATTACATTATAAAAAAAGAAAGCTAATTATTCTGAGTTAACTAATTCTAAAAGTTTTTACTATAAGTTACTAGCAAATGGATCTCGTTTCCAACAACTAGTTAGATTTGATGTTAAGATTGAATTTCTAGTCTACTATCTACTGTCAATTACAATCAAGCCCATCCGTTTCTCATTTATGCAGATAAAATATGAATGTTGTATTTGTTATCGATTGTAGCAATAATACATGTTATACCTCTATAAACCTCTTAGGAAATATAAAAAAAAAAAAAAATTCACTCTTCCAATTAAAAAAGTAAACAAAGAAATAGATATAGAATACCGTCACATTAGAAAAATTCACCTTAAATGAATCACATTTTAACAGATTAATTCATGGTTTTCGTTTCACGCCGCTGGCACCCGCCCATTCATCACACAGGTAAAACGAAATGTCATGCCTTTCTTAACAAAACGTTTATATCAAGTCCTTTCCCTATTCAACTTCTACTAGTGTACTGAAGACCACTAATGACTACTAGTTATATCCTACTATAGCTAAACGAGTGCTAACGGCTTCCATCCATTCGGATTGCGGCTGACGTCAAATCTATCATTATTATCAATACCGTCGCTATGTCTATGGCGTCCAAAAGAGTATTCGAACGCAAAATACGAACGGTTAAGCACGATAATGTTAGCCGATGTCGTCAACTAATGTCAGTAATTATTTGACGAAGTCGCAGTGGTGGCGACGGCCACGGCAGCGGCAGCGGCGTCAACGTGACGATCGTCGCTGCCATTATCATTACCATTGTTGTCACCTTTCTGTTGGCACCAATCAATGAATAGTCGTTTTGGCAATTGGAACGTGTCGCTGGTCGCCATGGCAACATAGGGGGCGCTGAAGACTGCGAACAATTGCTAGCTAATTTAATACATGCACAATAACTGAGCTAAGCGGTTCGACGTTCTACCATCAGCTAGAACGTATGTGTGTCCGTGCCAGTGAGTAGGCGATACAGCCAGCCTGACCAGCCGCCGTCTGGAGCATTAACGATATAGTGATGGCGATAGGGCTATCTATGTGTATAATGAATAGTATGCGCTGATAGGGGTCAAGGCTGGCGTGTTTACTGCCGCCAACGTTGCAACTATACGTATTATCGGTAGTGATAAACAGTAGACGATGTACAGCGTAATGGCGAATAAATATTGCCTGCGGCGCTCAAACCCGTGTCGCCTTGAACACCTCGGCTACTTACGTCATTACCGCTATCGCTGTTGTCGTTATGCTAATCTCAACGAAGGCCAATGAAGAACGCTGATGCAGATGACACTCTTGGCCGTTTTATTAGTTGCTGCTCTTCTTGTGCACCTATTGACGATACAATTAATGCATAGAAATACTTAAAACATACACAACAATCACAGCCACGAAGACCACTAGGCAACGACGCTTCGGCCCACTGCGCAGGCATCCATCCATCCATTTACCGATTCGTAGAGACGGTACTGCCTTTGACAGAAGATCGGCTCATATATAGACGGGACCCCAAGAAATAAGGCAGAAAGGACTGTGGTTGGTAACAAGCCTCAGCAGCAATAATAATCATCTATTCGTTCCTTGAGAATTACATATGACAGTACACACAGAGCGCAGGAATTCCCAAATGAAGCTTGAACGTCCCTTTAGTCAGATCTTTTTGTAAAGGAAATAATAAAAGGAAATATAAAGTATAAATTTGTAGTAAAGATGAAATTCTATTGTTCAGTTACATACAAACTCGTCCTTGTGATAAATCAACCCTTGGTCCTAAACACTCACCTTGCTAGTGAGTGTTTAAGCCTTTTATCATAATAAGCATAATCAGTTTCTCATTAGCTATTTTTGATCTAAGTCAGTGACTTGTTAATGAAATGTAACCTATAAACACATGTTCATTTCAAATTCTACTTGTACTCATGACCCACAACATGCTACGACCCATTTTCTCAAGCGAAGGTCGACTCTTAGCCGCTTTCCTTGAACAGTACTTAGATGGACAAACATAAAAATGTCATCGCGTATAGTATGCGTGTGAGTCTATAAGGATCTATTAGCAGGATGTTCGTTTCAAGTTACCGTAAACCCAAGGCTCATCCACTTCCGTCGACTATTCGGCCTATTCACTTGTTCTGTGCTCATTTCGCTTTGTCGCTCTCTGAGTGGCGCGTTGATTTGAATAATGATCTTCTTCGTTTTGATGCAGTAAATATATCAAATAGGTACACTAACTAACAATAGTTGTCAATTCAATGTAGCGCTTGGCTTCTGCACGCGAAAGATACAAACGGCTATCAATTGCGATGCCCAGTTAAATTTCATACGCACGCAAAGAGATACGACACGGCGGAGAGCCCGCGGACGTATCTACGTCCTTAATTTTTTTCGATGCGATTCCACGTCATCACCTTCTACCATTATTGCAAGCAGGAGAGGCCAAGTGTCGTCATCGTCATTATTATTGTTATTGTTGTTGTTGTTGTTGTTGTTGTTGCGGTGAAGCTTTCATAGAGAGAGCGAAGCAACAAAAACTGTCGGTTCTAACAGTAAGATCGTACCATGCGATGATTCTCTTTCGTTGGGTCGATAATATTTGATAATATGGCCGCTTTCCCTGCTTCTATTTTTCGCTTCTCGTTGTAATGCTCTTTTTGTCCTTTTTCTATGCGCGCTTTCTTCACGTCCATCGATCAGCTGCTGCCGTTGTTGCTGCCGGAACGGATGCGATCGACGTTCGTCCGCTGACTCATTGAGAGGATGACTAAAACTATCGTTTCGGTACTTCGAAGCACGGCAAATGTGCAATCTCACTACTCACGACGCGCGTACTAATTATCGATGTGGATTGTTCGAGATGAGATCACGCTTTAAGGAAGCCAACGGACACGCGTTCGCCGGTGTTACATACACAATCAGAGTTATTTATTATATTGTCATTTACAATATGGGAAGCGTGCAACAAAAACAGAAAGAAAAATTATCTGATACATGAAATCGACACGTTCCTGTTTTGACTGAAACTGAGTTTTCCTTATATTTGCCATTCCGAGAACGGACCTTTTATGATGATATGATTTGTTTTTTAAGCTATACGTGACATCATGAACGGCATCAGCTTTACAATTGTCAGAAGGCTGACGCTAGGCAGGACATTATTTAGAACTTATGTTTTGTAAGTGGTGTACAGGCCTTGTGAAAAATGTTCCTTAAATATAAACAACAGAGAACGAACTAAAATAATTGTTTGTCTTCACTTTTGATGGCAAGTTAATTGACCGTTATTAATTATTTTGAAGACGTCTCTATATTAAATGGTAGGTAGTAAAGACGTGTGCTGCGATTAAACCGCGATAATTAATTTCTCCATTTTTTAGAAATTAGCTATTAGCGAAACAAAGGTTTCGCCTGAGGCTACAGCCGCCAGCTGACGTATCGAAACAGAACCGAAACAATATAACAGCCCCATGGGCTAATCAAAAGACGAATTAAGTGACGACAAAAAAAAAGTGGCACAGCCAATAATTACTAACAACATGAAGTTGGCTGTGCGTACCAACATTTGCAAGCGATGACATAGTTACATCACTAAAACGTCGAATTTCACCAATCCAAAGTAGGTATTGCACAATTTGATTTGATCTCAAGCACAAAGTATCGTTGATTCCTCTAGCGTTAGCCTTCAATAACTAGTCCGTATGCGATATATCTGCCGCCAAATTCAAAATACGAATGTAGATGTCAGCTGTCCATACTTCCGTATGGCGCTTGTTTTTTTCTTTATTTTCAAATGTAATTCTCTGATCTCATAGCTAATACGTCAAAGAAATCGAGATCTAGAATATGACGACTGGAACATTGTGGTAACTTCCCAGCACGAAAGCAGTAAAAACAGATTCGATATATTCACAGTACGTAACGATGGCGAAGCAGATAGTGAGAAAACATAAACACACGCATAAAGAGAGACGTCGCTGGTCACACGTAACTTCGTGAAAATAGGTACCTACTTTTCGACTTCTCCAGCCGTTGTGAAATTCTTGAGAAGCACCTGAACTCGTATTAACACCCTAGTTCGCTCAATGTAATGCCTTTCTTGAACCCACGACCGCCGACCCAATGACCACGTACCATGTAACCCCAGCAACAGTTCGCTCAACGGATCCGCCGTCTGATAGTCAACCAGTCACTAGATACTTGCCATTTTATGTTTGGTCTGTGTTTATGTGTGTGTTTTGCCGAATTACAATAGAGTAGAGCGTAACAGCAGTCGAGAGATTTTTCAAAAAACACTGGCCATTATTCATATCATTAGCTGCAATCTCAACAACAGCAGATACTTCTGTTTTTGGCGTCACGAAAAAAAGGACATATGAATGACGACATGGGTTCACGTCGTGGGTTCACAAAATACTCGCATGGCCTGGGAAATATTCAATGCCAGAACACTAAACAGATTTTAAACAGAAATGATTCCTATTTCATATTTATATTTTAATACATTCTATTAACTTGCAAAGCACGGTTTCATTGTATATTTAAGCATTTTCAATAAGAATGATACCCGCAAGCCGAAGTAGGCTCGTATAGCGGTTGTGTGTTGGTAGATGTACAATTAGGCACGATTGTATATATATATATTATGCGACGTGGCTCAATCTACGTTTAAATAAATCATCGAAGAAAGTGTCGAAATTTCCAGTGACTTTTCTTATCTATGTTCACCATTGTTGACCACTAGTGAATTAACTAGACATGTAGACAAATCAAAAGTTAACTTCACGAGTGTGCACGTAAAGCAAAATTTAGACTTCAGATAGTTGAAAAACGAAAAATCATTGCTCCATGGTAGCAGGCCACAAGTGACCCTGAAAGGAGGAGTCAAGCGACATCAATTAGGTCCTGGGGCGTCCCTAGGCATGAAGTCGAATAACGTCGGCTCCAAGCAGCATTGCAGTACCATTGCCTATAGCGTGCTATCTAACATGGGTAAATCTGCTAGTAGCCTATAAAAAATCTACTACTAGTTTATTTGAAAAAAATCAGCGAACGTAAAGGGACTATCAGTAGGTTTTAGTTGTGCTTGCCATCTACAAACATGAGTCAAAAGACAATGGCTAGAGTATCCATCTATTGTAAGAAATAGTTATTAATATACGCAAAGAAATAACTACTGTTATCCTGTACTGTTATTATAGTGCCGTGTTCTTGAGCCGTATTCCACGCAAACGTTTCTTTTTGCCGAAATGTTTCGCAATAATCGTTACCATTAACGGGGATAATTGCTCGGTTTCCTTTTATTCACACGAATATTTTAGTTTAGTTTCCCAAACGTATATTCTCTTTGTCCACTATTCATTCAGACCATCAGTCGTTAGGCCTCTTTATTGTAGGGCTTTATATGGACCAAAGGAACTACTGAGAAGGGGTTAAAAACGGTCTCTTCCTAGCTAACGAATTGTCGAGTTTGGGCAAATTAGTAGTACCTAATATCTATAAAGTATAATCTGATAAGTTGGCGTGCTAAGTATTCACCAAGTCACACTTTGTCCTTTTCCACAAGCCACGTCCTACTCATATACTGCTGTCTCTTTTCTTCCATTCTAATCGGGGTAGCATTTTTCTGTGTTTTGAAAAAAAAAATCGCTATGCACTATTCAGGGACGTTCGGCAGACTGTTGGGCATACATAAATGGCAGCTGTAGGTTGAAAGCAGTCTTTATCTTTTAATGTTCCTGTCTCCAGCTCTGTCAATGCGTCATCCAATTTATGTTCTAAACCCTCACCCTTTTCTACCCTTACAGCATATTCCTATTGTTGTTATGTAAATGAACACTCATACAAGTTATAAGTTTTGTCAGAAGATAACTTCATTTAGAATAACATGGTAGTGGCAGAGGTGGAACCCGTAAAGTAAACACAGGATTTGGAAAACAGTAGCTGGCACGCACTAGTTCGAAAAAAATTAGGGCCTCTCGTCTCGGCATTTTGATGATGACGGTATACGCGCTACTGCTTCTTGATACGCCCGTGGAGCCTGCACCGTTACGGGTTGAATGTAGCCGCATGCTAACAGCCAATGAAATCACTGGCCGCGTCTGCTTATAGAACGCTCACGGCGTCCGCCGTGTGCAAAAGAAAAAGACTTCTCTAAGAATGGGGCAATCAAGATCATGGAGACGGATCTGCCCTTCTTGTCTTATAGCACCGAATTCGGCTTGTCACCATTGAGATGAGCGTCAGTGCTGGTCTATCATCATCTCCGGAAAGAGGATTATACCTTGATTTTTATCAAGTCATGCATTTTCAACTATT